AAGTACGCATAGACTATGATCGGTTCAAGAACCCCGTGGTCATCTGATTAGATCGGGGAATCAAGCACTATATGTCACTATTGTGAGGGACAGACTGAGTTGGAAGAGAGAATTCAAGCTAAAATCTCGCTAGAACCTAGTCATTCAAAGGCCGGGAGGATTGTCGTTTTTTCACTGACAAACTTATTGGGAGAGTATGATTTGTTTGTAGTGTGCTACTCGAATAGCGAGGGTTGTCTCCACTGGGACGTTTTCTTGTGCAACGAACGAAGAAAAAAATCTCTCCTACTGCCCTCTCCCGTTTGCGATGTACTCATGCAGTATTTAACACCATTGAAAATCGTGTTTATTTATTACAGTTTTAAGTATAAACTATCAAAACCTCCAAAAATCATTATGGTGCTTTAATGCCTGAGTACATTCAGAAAACGTATTATACATATGTCGCTAGACGCTCTTCTTTGACAACTCTCCTCAGCTTTAGCGAATTAATTTTTGCTGGGCTAATATCCTTGCTTCTTTTTTTGCCTGTAAGTATCCAATGCTTTTGTGTTGGGAAGGTTTTTTATAACGCAATTTCATGACGAATTGTCACTTTGCCTACAATTTTGATAAGGTCGTCGCCGTCGTCGGAGAACTGAGGCCTTTCTGATGCCTTTCGATACGGAAGCTATCAAGCTTGCCCTAACTACACAGCAAAGAGACTGTTTGCCGTGTACTACACAGCAAAGAGACTGTTTGCTGTGTAGTTGCGACTTGATCTCTTCGCCGTCTTCAGGGTCTGAAATTCAAAAATATTGGTTTTTCGGTTTTCAAACTTAGAAGAAGCCGAAAAATAAGCTCAGTAACGACTTCTGGTCTCGAAAACCAAAGTTGAAAGATGATAAAGCGCTGTCAGTGTGTGAACCAGAAAACTTCTTCCAGGTTAAGGTTTACAGTGTAAAATTCTTTACGGTTTAGTTGTTCTATTTTATTTTTCTGCGGAATCAGTTTATGCAGTCAGAGAAAGCACATTAAAACAAACAAATACTCTTTGAATATTATTTTATGAACAGCAATGTTCAGATAACAGCAGTGTAGTGATAAGTGTATTAGTAATGATCGCAATCACCATCATGTCAACTTGATTCAAAAAAAAAAAGAATGAGATATCCTGAAGGTACAAAAGTAAATCAGCAGCATGCTCCTATGGGTATAATGTTTGATAAGCATTTGATAAGATGGGTGAGAAGTTGTCATAGTTCAGTATACATTTTGGCAAAAACCCTGCCTTAAGTAATTGAACCCTAAGAAATAATTAGGTCAAATTGTAATAGTCACAAAACTGAGAACGGGCAATTAGGGTATCCGAAAAGTTTTGAGAAAGTTCAGCCGGTTTTTTCAACACAAAATGACTACAACCATGAAGTGGTCACTGTGATGGCCTTCATAGCCACAATCTCTCTCCAACGACCGGGCGGAGCACTGATGCCATTCCTCCAATATGAAGAGAAGCGTGACGCAATTCGTTCATCTACCACCTACTTGACCTCTCGATGGTTGGTGAATTTTTTTCCTGTCAATCAGACCCATGGGCTTCTGGAACTATGGTAGTCATATGGATCGAAGCCAGATAAATATGTGGGAAGTGGGGTAGTCAGGTTATACCAAGTCTTTCGAGCTTATCCATCGACGTCCTCGCGCAGTGTGGTCGAGCATTGTCCATCACAATCGAAAATTTCCTTGAGATCGATGTGAAAGGGGGGGGGGGGGGGGGGGGGGGGGGTCGAAACACCACCTCTCTCAGTCCGTAACAGAATACTCTTGCGCTCAAAGCAGCACATTCTGGTAAGCAGTAATACACCCATTGAGCAGAGAATGATCGAGCTCTTGTCTTTCTTGGCGTGAGCGCCTCGCTTTAGCGGGCTGTGGCCTTACGTCCGTTGGTAGACATTCCGATTTTCTGTTTGGATTTTCATATTACATCTACTTTTAGTCCTGAGCATTAATAAAGTCAGTTGATGTCGTCATTCGCTTACAGTCGAGGAGCTCCTGACACTCACTGAGTAGCACACGAACTTCCGCTCAATCAAGGAATGGGCGATATATGTAAAGAGTCCTCCTTTAGAAACAACTTTTGTGTAGAACGTCGTGCTTGATGGTATGGGGAGCAAAGATCCTCTTTCCCACTTCCTGAGATTTTGAGAAGGATTGCCCTGGCGGGAGGCTAGAACAGTGTTCGTATTTGAGGACAGTGAACTTCCGCCTCGACAAACTTCGTCGAAGCAAATCTCTTCTCAGAGGAGGCGATCAGTCACCTACCAGTCAGCATAGCTCATGCCGAGCGTCAGCGTCGAAGTGATTAGTTTCGTAATGGTGAACCAGAGGGCTCCGATAATCTTATCTAGGGCTCATCGTTCGGTCGACGTTTACTTGCTTCGAACGACAACGTGAAATACCGGTCAGCTATATTAATGATCTATTAACAATGCCCCTTTCGTGAAACAAGGGCGTACCCGAGGTAGTCGAGCGGTGTGGGATTGTTGTAGATCGGTGAGTTCTCCAAGTGACAGCTCTTTGAGTGCATCTAAAAGCCCATCATTGAAGAAATGTTTCCACAGCTCTACACCGAATGTGATGACCTTGAGAAGGCAGACTTTCATTCTAAGTCCGCGTAACTGTCGACAGCTTGACTTTCTTAACAGTGGAAAGTCTTGTTGAGATTTCTGCATGTACTTCACGAGACCCGATTAGTATAAAAAGCGGTATAAGAATATCCGGAATGAAGCATAGCATGTTGTAAATACTGATGATAATGATTCGTGACTCATTGGAATAGGGTATATGGTAGAGAAGAATAAATAACAGAGTGAATAGCTGGAAATAGACTTTTGAATAGTTTTTTGTGGATCATCGTATGAGAATAGTCTCTGGAGCGATGAGGGTCAGGAACAACTTACCGCATTTACCAGTGTCAATAAAGCGACTTCTCGCAACATCCTGTGCTGTACCTGGGAAGACGTAGTCCTTTTTGGTAGCTCCCTCAGAAAAAGCATTACCGTGTTGACAGAAGATTNACGGCGATAGCATAGCAAGTACACAATAATCATTAGATGTAAACATACGGAAACCAAGGCGATTGCTAGTGATATTGCGCAGCCAATCTGTAGTGAAATCATAGATTTTTTGAGGTTTCTAATGAAGTCTCTCCTCTGCTGCCTCCCTCTATGATAAATGAATACATACCGATCTTTTCATATTATTTACATTTTTCATCACCTGACTGGGAACTTTGTTCGCCAAATTTTCGCTCGTCGTCTTTTGCTAGTGAAAAAATCTTTAGCGATGTTTTCCACCCAATTGTTTTACTCCTCATGCAAGGGGATACATTTGGGTGGCTTTGCCTACCTACCCAGGAACACAGAACTTTTCCAACTTAGCTAATCAACATGAGACAGCTTTTTCCTTTTTAGATCTACAGGCTTGACAGCAAGAAAATGAACAGATCTTTTGCTGTCTTCTCGGTAGCCTTCCATGAGCGATGAATTAATCCGTTGACGCCAATGTCGCGCGATGCTGCGCGACGATGCATTCTTCGATCAAAATGTGTTTTGCCGTTCCGTTTTTTGTCCAGATTTTCAAACTAAGCTTATAAATGTCTAAAATACCACCGGCCACCTAACTAGTTAACTCCAAGACCAACATTTCATTTTTATTAGCAACTAACAATCATGGATTGTTTGGAAACAATCTAGACAACAAAATTTATTACATTTACTGCATTATGGCTTAGTCCTCCTGGCCAGGCTCCTCGCGGTCGACTTGCCTGATGTTGCAGAGATCGAGCTATAGCAGTCGGAGCAAAACAGTCTGTCCTTAGCCTTCGCATTTGAATCAGCCACCAGCTTCCGCTTGCGTGTTCTCGAACTACTTGTCGGCGTGTCGTTGGAGTTCTTCTACAGCAAGTCGTCCGCAATTAGCTCTTTGAAGTAGTTTATTTTGAATTTCTTGATCTTCTCGCAACACAAAAACCAAGCATTGACTATAGCAGTCTGGGTTAAGAGATGAAAAAATAGTCGAATACACCATATCGATGTTTTTCTCACAAACGGAGTATAGGCAGCCATCTGGTTTCTGAGGTCAACGAATCCCTTCATCATGATATGATCGAACACGACCGAAGGTTTTCGGTTCGGGTGAAAGCTGGCGTCGTGTGTCGTAGAAATCATATGGATGTCTTTCTTGTCTTTCCACTTCAAAATTGATACTCCTTCCGGGTTCTGCTGGTGAATGAACTCTCCTCTCCAGTTTCTTGTCTCGCATGATTTGAGTGATGATTTCTTATTTCTAAGATTTCTTTGGAGTGTTCCAACAATGTCAGTCTTCTTCTTGAGTAGATTGTGAGCAAGCGGTAAACTGCTGTACCAGTTATCAATGCAGAGGCAACGTCCTTGCATAAGAAAACAATCCATCAAATTAATACAGGTTCCGCCACACTGGTTGTCCGTTTTGGATCCTTTCTAGCGTAAACCTTGACCTTCTGAGTATAGCCAGCACGAGAGCAGAGCTTGAAGCGTTTGATTCCAAATCGGTGACGCTTTGTTCCATTGTACTGCCAAAATGAAACGCGACCTCTGAATGGCATCATCGACTCGCCGATACACAGTTCTCTTTCAGGACTACACAGAGCTTGAAAACGGTTATTGAATTCATCAAGAACAGGCTGCAGCTTGTAAAGCTTATTCATCATGTCGGCGGCAGTGTTGTCGACAAAGTGGAGATGCCTATAGATCTCTCCAAATCTATCTCTGGTCATAAAATCTCCGGCAATCGAACGCCCATTTCTGGCCAGGTTCCGACATTTCAGCGACCAGTTACGCTGATTATCAAATGGACGGCGGGACATCTGTAAACAGAGGCCGGAGAATCTTCTCAGTTCATCCGTGTCGGTGGCTGTCCAATTATGATTTTTTTGCTGTCCGTAGACGTTGGTCTGGTACGATTCCATATCAAGCAGTTCTTCAGAGAAAAACAGCACTAAATTGGAGGGGCGTCTCGCAGTTATCCGCCTCTAGATTTGTTCCAATAGGCTCCGAAAAGGTCCATTCATCGTACCATGTGTTTTCTGCTCCTTCATCGAAGTCATCATCGGGGATTTCAGCATCAGAATCATCAGTATCAGGAACAACAGAAGGAGCGCTGTCGAGCAGCCAGTTGTCAAAACTTCCGTTGAAGTCTTCCATATCGATATCCGGGATACTCATGGTGACGAGAATAGTCGCAAGGATAATAATACTCTCAGATGATCTCTTAGAGTATTATGTATTACTATCATTGCGACTATACTTGTCACCATGTCCTATTTATATACCCCTAATTAAAATTTATCACCACCAAATTTGCAATTACCCCAAGTAGCCACGAATCTTTTGGGCAAAATTTGAATATAGCTGAAGCTTTGCGAAATATTTTCTCGTACCGTTTGTTTTCAAATGTTTTTGACCATAGTCACTTTCTTTTTTTTTGAGAAATAACAACCTACCAAGAAAGAAACTGTGTCGTCCCACGGGACAGACATGAGAAAATTGGCTCGTCGTCAACGTGTAAAAAGGTTACCCTCTGCCTGATGTGCTGTACTATTTCCTTGCGGTGAGTATGTCAAGCCAGCAATTATTTTTACCTTCTACCATACAATTAGGCAGAGCTTTTAATGTGTCAGTACAATCATGAGCAGATATGAACCTTACGAAGAGGGAATGATCTCTACTTCAGTGTTTGATCAGGGTTCGAGAACAGAAAAAGCAAAAGAAAAAGCTCCCGAGCGTTGACAAATCCTCCTCAGATGCAGCCACGTAGTCTCTTTCCATTAGGAATTGAGATGGCATTTACATGAGTTGCTTGCTCTATGCAATGGCATGGGGGAGGGGGCAAATTAGAGTAAACCCGAAGCGTCACTTGAAATACATCATCCAAGCTTTTGTTTTCGAAAGTAATTACTAGAAAAAGTTGCTATTTCAAATTCACTGATGTTCATTAAGTTTGCCGTATTTTGAATTTGATATTTGAAAATCTCGATTTGAATATGACATTATGAATATGATTATGAATATATGAATTAGAAAAAATAATTTGAAGTTTAATTTAGCCTTTGCTCCACAAAGACCAACTTTCCCAAGATGGAAAGGTTACTTTCTCGTGTGTGATCAAAAAAAATCATATGAAATTATTTTCATATCACTGTTTCGCTGCACTACCAATGTAATACGATGCGAATATACATGAACACTGTTACGCCATCGCTGAGTATGAACGCTCACTTCATAAGACGTGGGCGAATCAATGAAGTCTATAAATCCAACATTCGGCACAAATTCCCTGCGCAAGTTCGATGTCGTTATTACGATATATGTTTCCGCTGCTGAGATTGTAAAGCAAAGAAAGCACAAGGCTATATAACGATACCTAAACTTTCCATAATTTATACGATACAAACATCGAAGAGAAACGAGAAAGAAGCATGACCAAAAGTGAAAACCAACACTGAACCTCACCGTGCAAATAATAGGCTATCCAATTTAGCATACAAAATAACTGCGAATCGATTTAGTGCCAGTAGAAAAATTAGTAGAATTATTACTTTTTTGAAAAACATATCTGCCACTAATGTGATAATATTTTGATTGGCAATCAGCGCTCCTGTCCACAGGGTGATAAGTCTGAGAAAAATGCCCAAAATAGAGCGAATCGTTATAACTGCTACAAGTACTGTAAGAATTCTGAAGAACGGTGCCTGGAATACAAATGTCATTTTCGCCATTTCATCAGTTTTTCTTCGTATATGCACTTATGAGGCTCATTACTAGACTTACTGCGAAGCGACGTTGTCCAATCAGTAGAATCGCAAGCAGGAATGAGCTGGCGATCAATACAGATATCGTCGTGATAGTTTCCAGAATTGTCATTGTTTTTGTGCTGTGCATGACGTCTTCATAACTCTCAGTATCACAACTCTTACTATCGCAGTGAGGTTGTTGCTCTGACCCTACTACTGGAATTGAGTTCACTTGGAGCTTGGAATTGGAGGAATCTGGAAGTGAGAAGTCCGATGGGTAGACGGGAAATACCGACATTCTGAAATACTTCTCTTTATATTGTTCATACTCAATGTTTTTGAAATCTGGGCATGTTTATACTGCGTGCAACGGAAATGTTCCAAAGAAATCTTCGTCGCCAAGAACCTTACGTGGTTTTGATCAGCATAGGTAAGATTTCAGACATCCCAACGAACTAGACAAACCCCAGAAATTCAAAATACGGACATCACAGCTAAGTAACCCGTTTTCTACTGTTCGACCAGCGTTGGGTGAACTTACTAAAATAAGTACTACAGGAAAATATGCGACGTAAAGTGGTAAATAAGGTTAGTATAAATAGTAGGAGTAATTCACAGCGTTGTTTATCTGCCCGCTCAAGAAGCTGACCAGTGACCAGCAAGATACAGATGAGACGTCGTTAGACGTGGACGCAAATTAATCATCACATTCGATTTTGTGATAATCTCAGCAAACAAATCAAAATGCGACGCAATTGACAGAAGGAGTCAAATGAGAAGTTTTATTTTTCGGTGGTGTCTTAGTTAACTTTCGCTTTCCAGTTGTATGAGTGGGCTATTACGGCAGAAAATCGTTTCTTGGTTGAAATCCTTCATTACTACTTTTTATTTACTTACTTAAGCGTTCTGGAGAGTGCTGCAAGTGGTCTAGTGCGATGGATCGTTTGGTCGGGTAATCTACAATGCACATGCCTCGGACCTTTCCCCGGTCTTTGAGGGTTGCGTCGAACAAATGAGGCAGTTACATTATAATATTACTTACTTGTTCGGCGCAACCGTTAGAGACCTAGATATGGTCCGAAGTGTGTGCGTTGTAGATTACCCAGCTGAGTGTTTCATCGCACCAGATGAGTTGCAGCACTACCCAGAGCGCTCAAGTAATATATGAAGAATTTCAGCCGTGAAACGAATTCACCCGTATCTTACTGTCTCCTGCCAACTTGTACGGAAAACTTCCATCCATTTCCGCCCTAAGTTTTTATCTGACGCGATTTTAGAGTAAATTCTCCTCGTACCAAACGGTAGATTACTGGCTTTGGGTAGTTTAGTAGTAGCAGTTTAGTAGTAGTAGCATTGATTCGTACTGGAAACTGATTTTCAACTAAGCCCGTTTTTCACAAGTATTCCTTGGGGCGTGAGGATTCCTACCCTGAGCTCTACTACAGGCTAAACAGATAACTCAGTTGCAAAATCGAACGGTATCCTAGTTTTTGATTGAATAAGTCAAATAAAGAAATCACTCAAAACTTTATTCTAAAAGATTTTATAGAGAGTAGGTTTTTAAGAGAATGTCTAAGAGCTGCTCGAAGTAGTAGGGCTAGAGAACTATGATCTTTAGAATGAAACGCCCTGACAGGAGTTGCAGCTGAAGTTGCAGCTGAAGTAGAAGCAAATTATCACCTGAGAAGTAGTGAGTCACTTTCACACTTTTCGCATAGACTATGGTTGGTTCAAAAACCCCGTGGTCATTCAATTAGATCGAGGGGTCGAGTATGTTGGGTGCCTATTCCAAGACACAGGTGAGTTGCAAAGGCGAGTTCGAACGGGGACCTCACTGGAACTTGGCTGTTAGAAGCTAAAAGGATTGTACTTTTTCGTGACAGACTTGTTTTGGGGGTTTTGTTTGTTTGTCGTATACTACTTCAATGGGGTGGGAGTTTGTTCCACTTCTTGTGCAAAGAACTTTTACCCCATTCAAGAAAAACCGTTCCCGTTGCCCTCTCCGGTTTGAGATGTACCTACGTAACACACTTTCAGAATCGTGTTTGTTTGTCTATTAACACAGTTTTTTGTGTAAACTATCAAAGCCTGTGGGAGTGTTTTTGGTGCGTTAATGCATGGGTACATTCAGAAAAAGTGTAGTACATATATCGCTAGACCATCTTCTTTGACAACTCTCGTCAGCTTTTGCAAGGCCATTTTTGCCGGCTGACATCCTTTCTTCTTTTTTCTGCTCGTAAGTATCCAGTGCTTTCGTGTTCTCGAGGTTTTTCATGACGAGATTTCCTCTTTGCCTACAATTTTGATGAAGTCGTCGTCAACGAAGAATTGAGGCCTTTCTGATGCCCTTTGTTATGGTAGCTATCAAAATTGACACAAGCGAACCCTTAGTTGTGAGTTACGACTCGGATCAACTACATCAGCTAGACTGATAACCTCAAGAACAGACGACTGATGTCAATGCCAATCTCATGCTTAACCTGTGAGACAGCGGAGCAGGTGTGAGTGTTCCGTCGCATTTTTGCGACTAGTATGCCAAAACGTAACATCTGTCACGTTCTCACTATCAAAACTCAATTAGAATGAGGCCAGAGATCACCAGGTTATGTATGTTGGTTGTGATGCCGAGCCGAATTGGTGAACTCCGTGATATTCCGAATTGACCAATCCGCTCGGCAACTGGGTGGCGGGTGTTCGTTACCATCAACAGTCGTGGTTGTTCATGCATGGATTTCGGTTCCTTACTCAGGATCTTTCGGCGTTGTTCTCATAGGACAGAATCCTGCGTTCAACGTCAAACTAACAGTCATCATGGCTGTTCCTTCTTTGCTTGCCAAGCGCTGCGAATAAACTTCCCCTAGGCCTTTTCCCGTTTAACCAACATAACAAACATCATTCTTCAACCAACTGAAGCTAGTGAATCACTGCCCTTCCAAGACCTTGCCGTAAAATCGAGCTGTGTTAAAGTGATATAGACCGTAGTTGAACGTTCACTATACTTTCAGCTCGGCGTTTAGGAAACCTTGGTTGCTATTCTTGCCATGCTGCTGCGCTGCTCTCGCTCTTCCTCTCGGGCACTTACTCACAACATCTTTACCGTACACAAACGGCTCAGGGATGTGCCGAGATTGCTTGAACAGTTTTGACCAGAGCAAGTTGCTGTGCTTCAGTCTTCAGACTGCCTCAACAAGCTCTTCGATTATTCCTCTCACTTACAGAGAGACGTTTCTTCAAGTGGAGTGTACTGCAGAGGAAATACGGTGGTGCACAATCATTTATTTCGATGACTAGAAATGACTTTTACAAATACTTCACTTCAAAGTGGCAGTTTTGCTAGACTTATTTGCCTTCATTTTTGTAGTGAAGGACAGTCTTGATGATATCTCCGCATGAACTTCACGCGAACCAACCAGTATGAAAACAGGTATAAGAATATCTGGTATAAAACACAGTATGTTGTATATACTGATTATCATAATCCGCGATTCGAAAGATGAGGGCATTTGGTAGAGAACAATGAAGAGAAGCGTGAACATCTGGAAATGCATGTGGATTTTCGTACGTCTTCAACGCTAACACTTCTGAAAACACGGGAGAAAACCTACCGTATTTACCACAGTCATCAGAGTAACTTCGCGAAATAGCCGTTGCTGTATCTGAACTGGTCGATTTGTGATTTTGCAATTAATTTGCACGAAACTGCTTACCTTGGTTGTAATTGTTGAGCTTGTTCGGTTATGACATCGTAAGTACACATAAATCATGAGATGAAGGGCTACAGAAATGAAAGCAATCGCCAAGAAAATCAGGCAACCGATCTGGAACGAAAGTTACTTCTCGAATTTTCTGGGATTAGAGTAATCGAATTGGACGCGAGTTCAGTTTTCCTCGCCCAGACCGCCTGATTCAAGGCGTTGAGTTCACTGAGAAAACGCGTCTTCGAAGGGATCTGTATAACCCTCAGCAACTGTTCTGGACATCCCTCTCCTGCTCAATATTGTCGTTTCTCGACTTTATTCGGTAGAGGTTTCACCGGACATGTCTCCTTATAAATGTGGAACGATCTGTTCTGCTATCGAGAGTGTTCCTTCCCTCTCTTCGTGGTACTAGTGAGCGCTTTCATAGTCCGCAATCTGGCCCGGAAGCGCGTCGGCCGGGGACTACACGGCCAGCGGTACCGACCAAGATTCAGTTGTAAACAAGGGGCAACCGCCGCCCCCGCGCTCGCTCGCGGGCCGGATCGCGGACTATGAAATCAGCAGTCGTAGAGGCAGGTGAGTCATGTTGTGACTTATTCAACTTCCTGTGGGTACGGTACTCGTTGTTTTTCAATGGAAGTTGTGAAGAGGAAAAGCAAGACTTCTTTCTCTTCAGGCTGTCGGTGATCAAGTAAATATTTACAGCCCTTGTAAGTGGTTGGGAGAAGCTGGCGAAACACGTGATGAGTGTTTTTGTAAAGACTACACCCAACCTTGCTCGGGTTAGATGGCTGCTTTCATAGTCCGCCGGCCTGCCGGCCGGCAGCCGATCACTTCGCTTATACGGAGCCTGAGACTCGCGACAATTCTTTGTTAGTCTCACAAGGTTGCCGAATCCTGGACCAAACTTCGGTTTCGGAGGAACTTGAATCCGTACCCAAATCGTTTTTCGGTAATTTTTTGAGGTGGCACATAGGTACGATCATGTTCGAAACATCATAATGTTCCGAAAAAGCATGGTTCACTGGATTGTGAGTATTGAGGCGATGAAGTTTTTGACGTTGGCTGGGTCTGTTTTCGAATGATATTCGCTCTGAATCTTACTCAGTGACCTGCTGAATGAAGGATCGAATGGTTAGACGAAGGCGTATCCAGACTTAGTCATGTCATCTTTGCATTAATTGTGCCATCACCGCGCAGGATAACCTGATTTTCACTGATTTCCTTGATAGTATATGGAGAAAGTCCACGATTTCTCATTCCGAATCTCTCAGACCTCGCTTTTGAGGGGCTGGGGTGATCAGAGTTTCGGCCTATTACCCCAGCTAACATCTACACAACTATTGTCATTAGCTGAAGCCGATTAGTCAGATGAGGGTGCTTAGCTCCATCTAATTGATAAAAACAAGTCTGAAAACGAAGCAAAACAACCACGTACCTCATAAGATTTTGCTGACTCGATGAAGTCGACGAAACCAATTCCCATAATAAATTCTCTTCGCAAATTTGACACTGCTATTACGCAGTACGTCTCTACTGCTGTGACAGCAAAGCAGGCAGTACACAATACGATGTAGCGATTCCTGGAAAGAACAAAGATCAGTTGGACATTTCTACATCTTTTATCAGCTTTTCTTATAGTATTTGGAATAGTCACAACATCAGTTTAAAAGCAGCCAGCTACTTTGCTTTCAAGTAAATTTTATCCTTGCCATCGAATGAACCCTTTTGATCGTGATCGCATATCAAAAATAGATCCGGTAGTGAGAGGGCGTCACATATGAGTTGGAGTGGTTCGATTTCATTTTTGGGAATATTTTGAACTGTTGGGACCACCTTGGCTTTTCACGAGGCTTACAAAAATCAAGCAAAAAGTAATAATCTTGTCCTCCGTTTCCAATACTTCTTTGATTCCTATGCTAATTTTTACTGCTTGCAACTCTTAAATAGGAACTAGAGAGTGAGGAAAGTCTGGATCGCAGCATTATCTCAACTTACCTCTCAAACAGTAGTTTGTCCATTTTAGGACATAAAACGATGGCAGATCGATTCAACGCCATAAGAAAAATCAATAGAATCAGCAATTTTTTGGAGACCATGTCGACTAGTAACGTGATAATATTTTGACTGGGAATCAGAAGTCCAGACCATAATGTGAACAGCTTGAATACGGTGCTGACTATAGAATGAATTACTATAATACTGACCACTACAGTAAGCATTTTGAAGAATGGCATCTGAAGGTTCGTGGTTCATAGTCTTTGGGAAATTATTGAACAAATCCCACGAGAGGTTGGTTCCACGTACCGTAAAACGTCGTCTTCCCATGAGTAGTATGACGAGTAGAAAAGAACTGGCAACGAGTACAGTCGCGGTAGTCATAGTCTCAAGAGTTTTCAATACTGTTGTACTGTAGGTGGTATTTTGGAAACTCCCTTTTATGGTGCAATTCATAAAATTGCATATAGGAATATATAGCTCCTTATCATTTGACGGCGTGGAAGATGTGGTCGAAGGGGGAAAAGCAGGGAACAGCGACATTCTGAACAAAAATTCCTACAATCAACATTCTAACACAAATTCGTGAGATCCAATCGACGTAAACATGCTAGATAAACAAACGGGGAACTTTCTAATAAGAAGGATGAAAGGTATCGTTCCCGTGGAAACCATGCCCGCTCAGAGCTGAAATGGTGAAAGATGCAGTTATGCTATCGTTTCATGGTCCGTTGGTAGATTCCTGCCTCCCACCACTCTAACCGGCGTGCTTTTTCGTAGGTAGTAATCTTATGGGTAGAGAAAACAAATTGAGATGTCCTACGTACATTCTTTTGAATTTCGTTCTCCTCGTAGCAAAAATTGAAAAAAGAGGTTTTTTTTAATGATAAGATTATTTCCTAATTCGAAACGACTATGTGGTTGTTCAATGACGTGGGCGTTCACATTATGTTTCAGCGACGGGCTGTAGCGACTGAGAGCTTAATGGAGGGGGGTAGAAAACAACTACATAGAGTAATGACTACTATTACGTTAGTAATACCACCGTATATGACTTATAATCAGGCCAAAAGTCATGATAGCTCTTGGTTTGATACCCGCACTGCCGTAGATCATACTTAAGGGGCTGCTAGCACCATTAATAAGTAATTCCTGTAATTTCCACCATTTGATTTGTGTATAAATCAAAGTTTGTACAGCATAGGTCCATTTTGGAGAATACGTTCGATCGTATATCGTACTGAACTACAGCAGAAAGAAGAAGCGAAGGGCCGATACGTCGTGAAGTTGGAGGTAATTCAAGCACGGGTAGGGAAAAGTAATGTGAACATGGTAATATAGAAATAACCTTAAAGTTGTTCCACCACCAATCGACATGTTACTTTAACTGATGCTACCATATGAAATGAGTTTAGATTATTTTTTGTTTAACCTGTCTTCCTCTTTGGCAGGTCAGGAATCTTTCCTTTTCTTTTGAAACAACTACGACGAAATTGGAAAGGCTCAGTGGGGCGGGTTCCTCCAACGGAATCATGAGATGGGGATTCCGCGCAGTGGGTTTTAGGGAACTCGGGCCTCCTTGACGAATTCTTCATTTCTATTAGTTGTTGGATCGGGAAACTCAAATCCTTTCGCAAAAAATTCGATGTCCAGTTAGGCTTTTGACTTTTCTACCTGGNAGCATAGGTCCATTTTGGAGAATACGTTCGATCGTATATCGTACTGAACTACAGCAGAAAGAAGAAGCGAAGGGCCGATACGTCGTGAAGTTGGAGGTAATTCAAGCACGGGTAGGGAAAAGTAATGTGAACATGGTAATATAGAAATAACCTTAAAGTTGTTCCACCACCAATCGACATGTTACNAGATTATTTTTTGTTTAACCTGTCTTCCTCTTTGGCAGGTCAGGAATCTTTCCTTTTCTTTTGAAACAACTACGACGAAATTGGAAAGGCTCAGTGGGGCGGGTTCCTCCAACGGAATCATGAGATGGGGATTCCGCGCAGTGGGTTTTAGGGAACTCGGGCCTCCTTGACGAATTCTTCATGTCTATTAGTTGTTGGATCGGGAAACTCAAATCCACTCGCAAAAAATTCGATGTCCATTTAGGCTTTTGACTTTTCTACCTGGAAAATAGTACAGCAAACATCAATAACTAGCAATACGATCATGATCGAAACTCATACTATTCCTTTTGGATCACAAACAACTAAGAAGAACTCAACAAATGAATCTCATTAGAACCCAAAAGAATCACATCTCAGGCCGATTTTTATTTATTTATTTATTTATTCATTCATTATGCACTTTGACAAATACACAACTCCTTCTGTCCCCATCCTATTTTTCAAGATATCAACTTAATTGGCTTGGAGTCGCGTGGATTGATAAGCCATGCTCAACAGCGAGCTGCAACATATTTTCTTTTGAGTGAGATTATGTTTTTCTCGGATTCTCGCCTGTAGAGCTTTAGCGAGGTTTTCTCTCCGATTTTCTGAGTTCCCTTTCTTTTTGTTAAGAGAATCTCGTATGTTTGTCTCAACCTTAAAAAAGCAAACAATGTCATGGCTATAGAGGTGTTCGGGAAATCCATTGTTTTGCTTCATTCGCGCCTTAAAAAAAGCCGCATTGTTTGAAACTGTGCTCGAAGAAAATTTATATTCTTGAAGAGAGAAACGTATTTGTAGTAGCTTGATTTTCTCTTCAGAGATGGCGCTCCTAGGGTGGTTTCTGCTGAGGAAATTCTGATTATCTGAATTGAACGATCTTTGTGGGTTTAGTGGCTCAAGCTCAAATATCACTGCTGAGTCGGAAAAAAGTCGCTACTCGACCTCGAATTTATTTTTTTACTTACTCCTTAATTTGAAGTTGTACATTCTTAAGCTGATTCGTTGTTTAGGAGTGCCTCTGTATAGTACGAATCAAATGCATTCAATTTAAGAGGGAAATGGGATGGCAATGTGGGAACGATCTAGATGGTCTCACAGGGCTTTGTTATTTGTGCTGTGGTGTGTCCTCTCCTTCAAGGGGTTCCCATATTTCCCATGCCTCACTTTGATTAAGTGTAGTAAGAATCACAGAAGTAGTGTAGAGGCGCATTTTGGAAATTTCAATTGGAGAGAGTTTGGTCGCATTTGAAGTTTCCAGAGCACGGCTGCACCTCCATCGAATTCAAAATTGTTCGCTGCAGTTGCTGATTCTCGACTAAATCCCTTCATTCGATTGATTCTTGTGAATTTATTGGAGTATGAGGAAATGCTTGATAATATCGGGAGAATGATACTTGTGCGTCCTGCCGCATACCTTGTTTGGCGGCCTACTCTGCTTATACTGTATATTCAAAAACTTGTTTTTCGAGCTGTTTTCATGATAGCTGAGCTCTGCTTCGGTCGATCTCAACTCCCGAAAAGCAATAGAATCTGATGAATACGTTTATTTACTAGGACAAATAGCTAATGCCTTTGGTGAGATATTGTTACAGTTTTATGGGAGTGAAGTGGTTTTACTTTTGTGACCGAGGAGAATCTGCAGGAGATTTCTTCACGAACTTCTCGTGAACCAATAAGTATACAGACCGGTATAAGAATATCTGGGACGAAACACAGTATGTTGTAAATGCTGATTAACACCATGCGAGATTCGTAGGATGAGGGCATTTGATATAGAATTATAAAAAGTAGAGTGAATGCCTGAAATTATGTATGGTTTCCTGAGTGGTTTCCTTTGGATATTCAGGATATCACTGCAAATACCCGAGCTTCTTAAAGGTAACCCTAAGCAACATACCGTATTCACCATGGCCATTATGGCGACTTCTCGAAGCATCCGTTTTTGCATCTGAACATATTAAAATTATGTCAAAAAACTTTATCTGTTCATAATCAAATACTAATATTTGTATGATTAGCGGTTTGTGGGCTGGGTGCCGTTCAAGTCGAAGCTTTTACCCTCCGAGGCTAGTCTGGTATAGTCGGAAGGGATGGAAAGTTCGAAAGGGATGGAAAGTTCGCCTGACTTGCGCAAGCATGTATCCCTTATTGATCTTCGGGTGCTATTTCGCTACTTGACATTACCCATAGAAATTGGTACTAGTAATTCATATCATTGAGTGGGTGTGGTCATAGAAATACAAAAAATCACCGCAGAAAGTCAGACTCTCGATTGGAATTATTCGTTTCTAAGGCCCCCTCAAAAAAATTGCTGTTGCTTTTCAAGTAATAGACAAAATCGGTCGGATAATGTGATCTGGGTTATTTTCACTACTTTTCCACAAGTAATAACTTACCTCGCCTGTTTTTGTGGAGGTTGATTGGCTATTAAATCGCAGGTACATTAAAATAATGAGTTGTAGACATAGAGATGTAAAGGATACGGCCAGAAAAACGAAACAGGAAATCTGCAATGTAACTCTTTGATATTTCTCAGGGCATGGAGAGAACAGATGTTTTCTCTTTCAAAATTCGGCATGCTATCATGTCTATGGAGAATTGTTCGATCCGAAAAGTTTAAAGTAAAACCTCTGCAGAGCCTTCCACCAGTTATCGTCACGCTATTACCCGATGTTCATGGATTCGAGGAAAGCTTCCGATGCGTTGAGACAGGAGTGGGAATCGGAGTCGTGGGAGTCAGTGTGTTACTTCTCAATATACAAGGACGCTTCGTCGCCATTCTTCAAGGAATTCATCGTCAACGTGAAGAGAGGGGTCCGCCAGAGTGATACCTTTTCGCCCAAGCTTTTCCGTACGCTGTTGAGAATATCATGCATCATTTCGATTGGAAATTCGAGGGTTAAAGGTCACGGAGACCGGACATGTTGTGTGATATTGCGATAAAAGTCGAGTATTCATAACCTGGATATCTCGGAACCCAACCGATCACCAAGACGGTCACCAACACGAGAGCCAATCTTTTCTACGGAAGGGATGCTCTTGTTGCTACTCGAACAAGGGCGATTCAACGGACTACTTTGGTTTGGATCGGGAATGAACGTTGACGGCACTGACGCTAGCTCGAAGAAAACGATGATCGCAGGTGATGCAGGTGAACCATTGGTAGCTTCGATTCCAACTGGATCACTAATAACAGTTGAGATGATGAGGGTTCTGTAGAGTCGACTCATACTTTTCCAACTAGCTGATCCTTTTTGGCGGAGATGGTTTAGTAACAAGCTGCGCACTCACACACACATGAGCCAAACAAGCCTTCTATCCCTCATTGGTTCGAGGCTCGTGCGAGAGGATAGTAATGCCTCAACATGTACATCAGTGGCACTGCAAGCCATTGTATCGGGAAGATTTGCATTTACTATACCGATACAACTCTGTACGGGCTCGAATGCGCGGCGCATCTCCAAAAGGCCTATTGCTTTCATACATTGGTCTCCTAACTGCGTCATACTGATAACAAAACTCGTCCCCACTTCGCCTAAAAAATTGGTAAGGTATCCAACCATATAGGTAAGCCAAGCTGCACTGCCCAGCATTTCAGGTAACGGACTTTACGGCTGATCTCTCAGCTAGAAATTGATAGGAGTAGTAATCATGAAAGTTGTCGGTGCAGAGCTGAAGGCATGGGGCTCTGTTTCATGGGAGGCGCTCGGAGAAAACAGATAAAGCAGCTCATCCTTTTTTCGGACTCTGGCTCGGAATAAAAAGGAGCTAGATGCACGGAGCAGCTGCACTGTCTCCCTCGTCAGTGAAGTGGAAGGATTAGGGAACTACAGAGTGGCTACAGAGTATGGTCCGTCAAATCACACGTCGCTTGCTAACCTGTAAATCCTTGTTTCAGCTGTGCAATATATGCTTTGGATAAAGCATGTCAGT